AGCTGCCATATCTAACGCCCCTGCTGCTTCTGTGTGTGGGTGGACAGAAGTGGAGGTGGGGGGCCCAGTGCCCCTGCCCACCCCGTGCCTGTATCTAATATATAAATATAGAGATGTGTCTATGATGGCCCTGACTCTGTCTGTGTTTGCCAATGCCATGTCCCTACCCATCGCGCCAGCCCAGCCACTTTCCAGCTGTGGGTTTCCTGGCCCCCATGACCTTTGACTCCCCGGGGTTGAGTATGTGAGTATAAGCAGCTCCAGACTCCTGGAAGAGTGGGGTCAGTTTCCCCTTTAGTCACCATCCTCCCCCCTCTCTAATAACTTCCTGTCTGACTGGCTGGGGTGGTGAGGGGGTGACTCAGGGGTACCCTACACACCCCCGGATTCTCTGGAAATGGCAGGGGGCCACATGCACCCGTGGGAAGGGGGAGGGTGGAGGACTTGACCCTATGCGGCCCAGGAGAGAGGGGCGCTGGGGTCAGCCCAGGAGAGAGGAGTGCTGGGGGTGTGAGGGCCGGAGCTGCCTGGCCTCTCCCCTGCCTCCACTCCATCCCCAGCTGAGCCCTGCAGCCTGGCCCAGGGCCAGCAGCAGGCTGGCTCAGCAGGTCTCAGGGGTGTGGTGGCAGCCAGGCCAGCGGTGGAACCAGCCTACTGCGACCGACCAGACAGCACAATTCATTAGGGCCAGTGGAGCTCGCAGCACTCAGAGCTGGACAGGTGGCGCAGCCATGAGCCCTATGCTGTACTATGCCCTACCCGCTCTGGGGGGCTATGTCATGCTGTCCATCTTATTCCTGCGCCGGCCTCGCCTGCTGCACACACCCTGGGCTCCAGCCTTCCGTCCCCGCCTGGGGGCCCACCGGGGAGGTGAGCTGGATGGGGTCCGGGGTGTGGGGGGAGGCAGCTACTGAGGGTGGAGTGAGGACAGCAAGGTGCCAAGGTGGACAGCACAGAGGGGTAGTTCCAAGGGATCAGATGTTAGAAAGAGGGAGAGACCAAGGTAGGAGAGCAGCGTGATAGCACAGGATGTGGAATCAGGGCAACGAGGCCATTCAACATGGGCAGACTGGGGTGATGAGGCGTGGGACAGGGGGAGGGCAGGAGAAAGGAGGAGGCCAGGCTCCAGGGACCCACCATGGCTGCCCGTCACAGGATCCGGGGAGAGGCTGGAGAACACCATGGAGGCCATGGAAAAGTGAGTACACCTGCTTCCCTGAGCTCCTGGGTAAGATCGTGCCCCTTGTGCATTGCACAATGCCAAGGGGTGCCATTACTTCCTAGTCGGGGTGACTGGAGCCCCCTAGAGGTATGCAGCACCCAGGCACAGCCCATTAGACCTTAAACTCTGCCCGACCCTCCCCTTAACTCCCCCCCACCAGCCTTCTGGCCCATCCCTTGCCCTGCCCCCACCCTAACCTGCCCGCCCTCAGCTCCATGGCCCAGAGAGCCGACCTCCTGGAGCTGGACTGCCAACTGACACGGGACGGTGTGGTGGTGGTGTCACATGATAAGAACCTGTTCCGCCAATCAGGTGTGAACAAGGACGTGGGCAGCCTGGACTTTGAGGTGAGCTCTGCCCAGCTCCCCACATACCCAGAGATCCTCCCTCCAATGGGCCTCCTGGAGACATGCTCCCTGCTCTCCCTAGGAGCTGCCCCTCTACAAGGAAGAGCTGGAGGTTTACTTCTCACCCGGTAAGAGCATGGCCAGCCTGAGGCGGGGTCATGGCCTCAGGCTCTGGGACTCACCCCTCTTTCCCTGGGTTATTACCCACACCCACCAGTGCTCCGGTTTCTCTCCCCACACCCCCCCGCCCCCAGGCCACTTTGCACACGGGTCTGACCGGAACATGGTACGTCTAGAGGACTTGTTCCAGAGGTTCCCTCTGATGCCCATGAGTGTGGAGGTCAAAGGGGAGAACGACAAGCTCATTCAAGAGGTAGGGCTGCAGGCAGGCTGGGGGTCCAGGGCTGGAGAAGCCTGGCTCCCCTTCATCTCCTCCTCCTTCTTCCAGATAGCCAGCCTGGTGAGGCACTTTGACCGCAGTGAGATCACCATCTGGGCCTCAGAGAAGAGCTCGGTCATGAAGAAGTGCAAGGCCGCAGTGAGTCCCTGTCCCTCCCTGTTCCAGGGGCCCATCCTCCCAGTAGCTGGGGCCCAGCCCAGCCTGATGGGCCTGGGGGTGGGGGTGGGGGAGCGTCTGGGAGGATTTGGAGAGATGAGGTGGCAGGGGAACGTTATGTGAGTAAAGATGTGCTGGTGGGAATGGGGCTGCATTTAGGCCTTGAATTCTGGGCCAAGATATGGCTCTGATCCTGCAAGGACAGGGCTTCCCTAGTGTCCAGAATAGTTTCCCCTGCAGCCCAGGCCTCCTCTCTGCTTCCCCAGTAGCACATTGACCCTCCTCCCCTCTTCTCCCCTTCCAGAACCCGGAAATGCCACGCTCCTTCACAATAAGCCGAGCTATCTGGTTGATACTGTTCTATTACCTGGGCCTGCTGCCCTTCATCCCAATCACAGAGAGGTTTTTCTTGTGCTTTCTGCCCACCATCATCAACAGGTACCCACAGGGTCCCCATCTCCCTTATTCCTCCTCCCCCAGACCCCCAGCAGCTCCTGTCCTCAGAAGCCCCATTGCATAGGGTCCCCAGCTCCCTGCAGGATAAGCCCCAGGGTGCTTTGAAGACAGTGGTTCTCACCCAGCATTCATGAATACTAAGGGGACCACAAACCCCCTGAAATTCTGTGCACATGTATGTTCCTACGGTGAAGTTGTAGGACAAAGTGTGGATTTTTTCATCCATTCATCCAACAAATATTCACTGAATGCCTACTGTGTTCCAGGTGCAGCTACACTGATAAGTGAGGTCAGTGTGGGTGGGGGAAGGCCCCACACAGGGAGCTTACCACCTGGCTAGGGAGACAAATGTTAATTAATCATAGCATCACTCTCTGATTCTCAAAAGGAAAAGCAAGTGTTTCCCTGCTGGGAGACAAGGATTAACAATGTAACAGCTGGGTCAAGTATCAGGAAGTTGGATACTCCACTGGCTCTCAGGCCTGGCCCCTCCCTTTGCTTTCTGGGAGAACTCTGTGGCAGCCCCCCAGTGCTTTCTGCTCCCCTCTGTTGTCCCAAGGGAAGTCCCCAGCCAGCACCCACAGTCCCTGCTACAGAGACATCATTATACTACAGGTCTCTCTGTAAAGAACTTTTTATCCAGGATTTACAGTGTTTTCACATCCTTTCGTTTAGTTGAGCTTTACCTTGCAGCTCCCCCAGGAGGTATAGGAATCGTGACCCCACAGTATCTATGGAGAATCTGAGGCTCAGAGAGGTTCTGTAATTTGCTTAAGGTCACACAGCTGGAAATACAGAGCCCAGTTTGCCTTGGGTCTGATCCCAAAGCCTGCCCAGGGACACTATGAAGGGCTTTTCTAGAGTCACCCCTGCAGTGGGACAATTAGGTGCAAGTAGTGGACCCAAGAAACGCTGTCTGGTGTCAGGAAGTTTGTCAGGCCCAACCAGGAGGACCCCCCCAGATTGCACGTTCAGGTTGGGAATCAAGCTGGGTTCCGGTCCTGGTCCCACCATGGACCTGCTGTGTGACCTCGGGCGAGTCACATGAGGTCTCCAAGATTCAGTTTCCTCTTCTGTTAAAATGGTGAGGAGAGGACACACCCTCAAAGCATGGAGTCAGGGACATAGGAGTAGGATCTCACTGAACAGTGGGTGAAGTTTTTCATCTGGGCTGCGGGAAGGTTCTTCCTAGAGGGGGCGGGTTTCACTGGTCAGGGTCACTGCCACCCCTGCAACAGAGGGAGACCCACGGGCTGACCACGACACCACCTCTCTGCAGGACCTACTTCCCGTTCTCCTGCTCTGGGCTGAACCAGCTGGCGGCCATGGTTTCTAAATGGTGAGGTGGGCGAGCAGGCTGGGTGGCTGCGTGGAGTGTCCCCATGGAGACCTGCCTCTGCCCTTCTCCTTAGTTCCTCTCATCACAAGCTTGGCTGTTCCCCTCCCCGCCAGGCTCATCATGAGGAAAAGTCTGATCCAACACCTGGAGCAGCGAGGGGTGCAGGTGAGGCCTGACCCCCATGCTCTCAGCCAGTGGGCGGTTCCCAGCGTGGGCCTAGCACAGCGCTGCAATCACTATCTGGGTCGCTTGGGCAGGTCACCTTCTGAGGTTCAGTTTCCTCATCTGTAAAATGGGGATAATGGTTCATTTAACTCTTCTGGAGATGTAACTGGTCCTTACTTAGTTAGGGCTTGATAGATGACAGCCGTTATGATGATGCACTGAACTGTTCTAATCCCTGATGAGGGGGCTGGGCAAAGGGCAGAGAAGGGAAGACCCAGCCCAGCCCACCTCCTTCCAGCCCTTGAGCACCAGCATGGACCAGGACATTTAATTAGCACCGTTGTTGGGAATACCTATATTCCAGGCACTGGTTCTGGGGATGGAGCAGGGAGCTTACCAGCAAGGGCAGGGGAAGGAAATGAGCAGGCCATTGCAAGGGCAACAGGGCCATGGTCTGCAGGCTTAGAGAAGGCTGGGAAGGAGTGAGGAGCTGGCTCAAGGGGAGGGGAAAGGGAGAACATCTCGGGCAGGAGGCTGGCATGTGGGAGGGCCAGGAGGAGCCAGAGGCCTGGCAGCCTGAGGAACTGAGAGCAGTTCTACCAGGCTGCAGCCTGGAGGAAGTGGCGCAAGGGAGCTGGAGCCAGCAGCAGAGGCGGAGGCAGTCAGTCAGCCTGGGAACCCCAGTAAGGAGCCTGGACTTCCGCCCAAAGGGAAGGGGCGCTTTTGAGGGCTGAAGCAGGGGACAGACCTGATCCAAGGTTTGTCGAATAAGGGTCACTATATGGGGGGCCACTGTGGAAGCAGAGTCGTGAGAAGGCTGAGGCTGCCACTGATGGCACTGGGACTCAGGTGGCAGTCCTGGGGACGGATGGGAGTTAACTCCCAGACAGATGGCTGCTGATTGGATGTAGGCCTGAGGGAGGCAGGGGGAGGACTGGGCTCTTTCAGATGAGCCCTCCCACTCCGCGGGCTGCTTCTTCACCACTCTAGGAGTCTGGCCGGTAACTCTCAGCCATCACATTAAGAAATCTAGAGGGCCAGTGATTTGCCCAGGGTACAAAACCATCTCCATCTGCTTCAGTGCCCAGAGGAAAGGACTCTGGAGGTGGCAGCAGGTGTGGGCAAGCTGCGAGGCATGGGCAGGCTGGTAAAACAGCCTGCTCGCCAAGGGAACAAGGGCCCTGATTGGAGCATTGGGTCATTTCCCTGGTGTATAGACTTCCTTCCACCCTGGCCAGTATCACGTCCCCAACATGAAGTCACTGAACACGGAGTTGGGAAGAGATGTGTGGTAGCATCATAGAGTATTTCCATCAGACACATTGGACAGACCTAAGTAACCTCCAGGGCAGAGGTAATAGTAAAATGTAGTAACATTGTTAGGAAGTGACGAGTTTTTCATATTTATGACCTTTGTGTTTAATATAATGTATTGAATTACAAGTTTATGTCATTTACTGTTTAATAATGGCTGTCCTTACAACCAAGTTTGCAAAATTGGATTTACTGAAAATGGAAGACAGCTCCCTAGAACACCACTGCGGGGGAGGTCTCCACAGAGGAGGAGAGCCCCACCCTGTAAAAATGCAAGGCAGGGGTTCCAGGTAAAGTTGTGTGGAAACTACAAGCCCCCCCCCCCC